CGTGTAGTTTGATCTCCACGTAAGCCGATGCTTCCTCCCTCAAAAAAGCCATCGGTACAGTTTTTCAACTGCGGCTGATTAGTGCGGTGCAAGATTACAACTTGAACTTGCCGCCATACAATTATCACATCACCTTTCCAAGTTGAAGAGATCAGTGGTTGCAATAACTTAACCTTATGCATGCGCACATTTCTTGTTGACTAGCTAGGCTGCAATTACAAACTGAACTGCCTGCTGAACAATCAACTCTGGGACAAACACTTCAAATCTGTTCATTTCCCTTTCAACTCCGTTCACTTTGCAACTGTTTTGTTGTTCCTTTTCTCCTCGTGCGTGTTACATTGACATGAACTTAACGCCCTGAACTACGCAAGAGATGTAACAATCCCCAAACCCTGGTCTTTGCTGCAATATGGGCTTCAATGTAGTTTTGGTCGGAAAGGCCGCTGGTGACTGCAACCAAACAGCCCGAGCCCGACCCTTCTTTTGCAAAAATGCTTTGGTATATTTTGTCTGGTGCACATGTTGGCATTATCCCGAAGTGCGAAGCAATGCAACTCAATTTTGGCCAAGTTCCTCCACATCCGGCTTTTACAGGCGCATGTGGCTGCGCATTGCATCAATACGCATCAACTGTTCAATCTACTACCCACTGGCATTGAGCTTGGCATATTGGGTAGGTAGCTGCCTTGTGTATGTGACATGCAAAATAAGAAAATTAAGAAGGTAAGAACTGAGGCTGAGGTTCTGGCAGCACCAGCACGGTGGGAGAGAAGGGCTTTCAGGATGCTCCGACCTAAGATATGTAGAAACCAGTGACGCGGACATCTCACCTTGGGAGATGGCTTCACAGCGAAGGTGACCCACTGAGAAGTGTATCATTAAAGGACTCCGTTGAGAGGACTATCAATGTCTAATACTGTCCTTCATTTTCGTTGATCCTCTGCCCCTGAGGCCAGCGGCGGCCCTTCTGCACAGCGCAAAGCAGGGGTGTCTCCCCGTCATAATTTGCTTTGTGCGGTGCCTGCCTTGGCACAACCCAAATCACAGCTGCAAACAACATAGCCAAAAGCGGAAAGCAGCCGGTTTGCAATGAAGGCGGCCGAGCTCCATTTCCACAATCATTGGAATCATTGGAAGTCTCTTGGCCATTCACTGGAATTAGGCCACTTCCCCGCTCCGAAGCTGGAAAGAGGCCCCACAAGCGGCCTGTATAAACCGGATTTAGCCGGTTGTCTTTCAAAGGACATCACAGGACCCATCTACAAGCAAAACGGTTTGCATCGTTCGTGAGAACAATTAGGCTTTGAGTGGAAATCGGGTCAAAAAAATTAGCCGCAAATGCTGATCTTTGGCAAAGCATCGGCAATATATCTGGCAAATGTTTGCCTTTCCACGACCGAATGTGAGGTTGGGCTTTCCACGACCGAATATGAGGCTGGGCGTTGCAACTCCGGTTTTCTTTTGGAGCTGGAGGTGGTCAAAAGAAGGCACCTTTCCTAGTCCCACCCAACCACACAGGTCCCAGCTGCCCGTTCGACTTTTTGAACGGACGAAATCTGATACCCTCTCACGGGCTGTTTGGCCACAACTTCTATCCTGGCAGTTGAATGGGCAACGGTATCAGTCCAAAGCATATGGAAAATACATGTAGAACACAGATCGGAATCAGTTCCCACAATCCCCCAACTAGATTAAGAGCAGAATGAACACTTAGATTGTCAGGCGGGCTCTAGTGCTCGGTGTTCAGTGAGGTCTCCAAACAACATTGCAACATCATGCACTTTTGGTCAAGTTCACTCTTGGCCACTCTTTTGGGAGACTCTTGTGTGGCACCCTTGTAGGACTGTAGGACGCTCTTGTGGCACACTCTTGTCCGACACTCTGGTATGTCACTTTTGTAGGACACTCTTGTGGGACACTCTTGTAGGTCATTGTGGGAGACTCTTGTGGAAGACTCTTGCGCGGCACTCTTGTGGGACACTCTTGTACGACACTCACTCGTACTTGTTTGGGACACTCTTGCGGGAAAGTCTCTCTTGTAGGACGCTCTTGTTGGACACTCTTGTGGGCCTGTGGGGCACTACGACGAAGGTCTCCAATAGTCAGCCGTCACAGCGCTTTGCATGAGACTTGCTCCAAAAGTCAAGTGGGAACCCCCATCGAAGCACACATCAAGCAGCCCTGCCAAGCAGTTTCGCGACTCCAACCATCTCCAGCCCCTTCACACGCCAATCCCGACAGCGACATTCACCTCAACTCGCAACCTCACGATTCCCTGCGCAGACTTCCTCTCACGTTTCCACACGTTTCCTCCCATTTCGCACGTATTTGGAATAGTCAGTATCTTGACGGGTGGATGTTGTTATATCTTGTTACTAGTACGGACTACAAGGGGCAGTGGTGTCGACCTCCAACAAAAGCATCTTTGCTTTCACATGCTTTCACTGGCCGAAGATTTCTTAAACGTTCAGGAGCTCAGGCAAGCATGAAACCATCCATCGAGTTCATAATGTGATAATATCATAGCAAAGTGGCACTGCACCCAGAAAGGCCCGTGGTGTACGGGTAACATTGCGCTCACTGGAGATTATAGCAAGAGTCTGAAAAGGCTGCCAGCTTGCGGTAGCGAGGCTCGTTCTTTGCCAACGGCCTTCCCAGGACAAGGCTGTAGCGGTTCTGCAAGTCTCCTATGCAGTTCCCCGCTGCTTCCATGTCCTCCGCATCGGGCCAAATATGCTGGTGTGGCTCATTTTGCCCTCTGCACTAAACATGTGTGTGTCATCCATGACCACAGCAACATCAGCAACACAGAACTGGGCTTAGTCCAATCCATGCCACTGAAGACTCCCAACCATCGTGATAAGCTTGTTTGCAGCTCTCAAAATCAGTCCACACAAATCTGAGTTTGTTGACAGTTGGGTGGCCCGCCCTGCCCTGCCTTTGCTAATTACATGTGGTAACATATGCGGCCAAACTGCAGCAAGTCGCTCCTACTGTGCAAAGGCGAATGAAGCTTTCTCAGATTTTCTTCGCGCGGGTCCAATTGACTCAAAACCGAAAGAGCCATGGCTACATAGCTTGTCTACACCTGCATGCCGCTGTGCTACGATGTTGAGTGCCAGCGGTGTTTCCCGAGCACAAGCATAGATCCGTAACAAGCTGGTTGTCCATTGCTCTGGAACAAGCATTCTGAAACGACAGCTCGCAGCAAATTGAAAGCGGCGTGCAGACTCCGCCATGACAAAATGTGATTCCTGAGGTGTTGTCTGCCAAAATGGCTAGTGGCCCCTCCCTCGAAGGGGTGAAAATGGTCATTTGTGGTTGTTTTGGCCCCATTGGGCACGGCTGAACACCTCAAGAAAATCATCCCAACAGCCAACCTGAAGGTCTGTTGAGGTCCTAAAACAGCCGATGACTGGGCACATCTAAATCCCCTAGGCCACCAAAATGACACTTGTTCACATGTCCTCTCGAGTCAGATGGGCAACAATGGCGCCCTCGCTGACCGTCAAACTGTACACAATGGCATTGTGCCACACCACGTCACTCCATGACGCTTGAGTTCCCCTTCTGCTTGTGTCAGCTTTGACTTCTCGTTTGGCTTACTGATGCAACTTGCAAGCACCCAGTTTGGCAAGCGAAGATGAGGAACCTCTCATTTGATAGGTATTGGCGTAGAGGGTGGGGAAAATGAAACAGTCGGCGGCTCTGGGTGCTGCGCCAAATCCACAAGACTTAAAGACGCATATAAACTTTAATACACAATATAACATAATATATATATATATAGTTATATATGCGCAATTTTGTGCGACATCATCTATTCAAGAGTTTGTTCAATGCCTTATTCGCAGGACGTGTGACATGTTCATGAATAAACCCCCTCGTTCATTCCTGCACCTGCCAATCGTGACACAACTCGTCATCTGTCAATTCAACAAATCACATGGAAGGCAAACACAAAAGAGCGTTTTATTCTTTAATAGTTGCCGCTGCGGTTTGCTAGCACAAAATGCATGTTGAACACGCCGTGTAGGCTGGAAGCAGCAGTTGGAGCAAACAGTTGGTGTGACAGTTACCTTTTGCACAAAAATGTTCCACAGAAAATTGGTAGGATTTATGCATTGCTCTAACAACCTTAGTGTTGGTCTACACTATTCAATACACCGCCTGTGTTCCAAGAACCGATGCTCAACACACAACACATATCTCGAGCAATGCTTTGATTCAAGGAGGTTCTGTAACACTTCTACTTGTAACACTTCTTGTCACGTCGTTGCTTGTTTGCAACTAGCTCCTGCAAACAATTCTGCTTAACATTGACGAACACACTTTGCTTGAAGGAATCCTTGCATGGATGTTTGGGCACGTGTAGCGGCTGACATACAATATAGATAACGCAATATATATAAAGATGCAGAATTTGATAAACTCAACTAGTCATGACACCTCAACAGTCAGATCACGGTACCCCTACCAGTGAAAAGTCGGTCCCAGCCACCCGGCCACACCCTGGGTGGTGGGAGCCGCTCTGCTTGACCTACTTAAGCCGAGCCACACCTCCGAGACTGAGTAGGCATCAAGCACTGACCGTGGGTGTCGAAAAAAGGGGGACGAAACGAAAAGCGCTTTTTCCCTTGCCTTTTCTGGATCTCTTTGATCAAAGGTTCCCATAAAGGGTGGCAGAGGGAGGGAGCTTAGAACCACGATCACTGCGGAACAGGCATTCATGAGGTGCATCTTAATTTACGGGGGCGAAAATACAAAGATGCAGCACTCATTTCTTTTGTTCCACTTCGCAGCGATTTTGTCAGAATTTGATAAACTCAACTAGTCATGACACCTCAACAGTCAGATCACGGTACCCCTACCAGTGAAAAGTCGGTCCCAGCCACCCGGCCACACCCTGGGTGGTGGGAGCCGCTCTGCTTGACCTACTTAAGCCGAGCCACACCTCCGAGACTGAGTAGGCATCAAGCACTGACCGTGGGTGTCGAAAAAAAGGGGACGAAACGAAAAGCGCTTTTTCCCTTGCCTTTTCTGGATCTCTTTGGGTGCCTTCCAAGCCCCCCTGCCCTTCCGCCTTTGGCAGGAGGCTCAAGTGACGTGATTCGTGGCTGACGGAAAAAACTACTACAAACAGTCAAAAAGGGACGTATTCGTGCATCAGAGGTCGGAAGTTTGAGTTGACTGAGGACAGCCAACCCTTCGTTGAGGTAGATTCGGGCACTTTTCTGTGTGTGCCACCTACCTTGAACTAGTATGCGGTCTAAGTTTTGGTGCTTTTGGAACCAAAACGTGGCCCCTCCCCTCCGGAGGGAATAGGGTCGGAACCCCATGTCCTGAATTTGGAGGCCTTCAAGGCAAGAATTGAACAAGGCTCGCCACTTTGGTGGGGAGGGCGTAAGCCGAGTACTGGGGGAACCAGCTTGTTTCCACGCCTTTAAAACTTTCACCACGGGCTCATATCCTAGGACTACACTTTCAGCAGCCCCATGGCGTTTGCCACCCTTAGTAAATCCCAAGTTCACGAGGGCTTGTCCAGTGCCTGACCCGAGTTCCACATGGCTGGACACAACGCCCAAGATCTCACCTGTACGCAACATGGTGTAGAACCCCAAAAGTAACGAGACAGCAAAGGAGATCCAACCGTTAAAAATTGCCCACCCCGCCATGGCGTGGACCAGATGCTCCGGCAAGGGCGGTGCGCGGTTGGGTATCTCATTTGTCTGCCACGTCTTCAGGAGCCTTCAGGCTGCCGGCATGTGTGTACGAAGTCCAGGTTGAAGGTCCTGTAACCCAGCCAAAGTATCACATGCAAGGCCACGGCCCTGCCCTGTGGCCCATAGGTGTTCCAGGTAGTCACATACCAAGGGGTCAAGCTTCCTCTTATCAGTAGGCAATGCGATGCCTTCCTTGCGCAAGAAGCCGAGGAAATGGTCAACTGCCTTGTCATAGCGCTTACGAGTAGCCGGTTGCACTGTCAACTGCCGAAGCGTTCCTAGCTGTCTACGGATCTTTGCTCTATCCTGCTGAGTTCCACCCTCCAACACACGCTTAGGCATGCTTCTGCTTACCGCGGATGCGAGTACCCCACCGACTTGGCTTGTCAGCAGGGTTGCTATCTGTGTGCACGTAACCCCACAGGATCTGAGAGTTAGAACAAAGCAGTAATGAGTTGATCCGAGACATAGAGCTCCGAAGCTTCTTAGAGCTGGTCCTTCCACGCGTGAGGGCATGTAGGCAAACCAGAGAGTCAGTCAAATGCAGCATACGCACTCCTTGGTGGTGCTGACGCTCCACCCTCCAGCGAACCGCGTTGAGAATCGCCCTGAGCTCCAGCGAGTTGATGTGCTCTCGGCCTCTCGTCCACCTCCACCCTGAGACAATGCGCCAACGCCACAAGCGTGAAGGTACTGACGCGCGTAGCCGATGGAACTTAACCAGTTGCGTACTCGGAGTCGAAATGAGGATGTCCTCGCCCTTGAGACTGATGAGGTTCCCCAACTTGAAAGCAAGCTGCGCCTCACTTCCCGAAGTCAGAGGCACGCTCCGAATCGGCATGCGTACCAGCCGTCCCTGGAGCGCAGTGCTGCCATCGGCACGACATTTCAAGGCAATGGCTTGGGGGCTCAACTCTGGGGAGATGCCCAACTTAGAGAGCAGCTGATTGAGTAGCCACGCCACCACAGGCACGCTCCAAGTATTCCCAAGTAAAGTGAGCCGAATATCAGAGTGATGAGCACCCTTGCGTTCGGACTTACCGCAACACGGGGCTGTGTAATGGAGGGGAAACCCCAACATTACCTCCCTTTCAGCCACCGACGGAACCCGCAACTGGCCTTTCTTGTTGACAACAGCGTGGATCTGCTGATACTGGTACGGCGGGAAGCGATGAAGATCACAATGCCAACGACTCAACTCCTCCTCGGAACAATGTGCAATCCCGGCGGGCTTCCGCCCTGGCCGCTCAGAAGGTCTTGCTGTTGTGAAGGTGGGGAAAGGTTTGCTGAGCACCGCCTTAGTCCACCCTGGCTCCAAAACGTCCTCAACCGGCTGCTCTGCCACGAGATGCCAGACAGTAACCTCACCAGAGAGATCACACGTTGCCCCATCGCCTTTGCATAAATCCCATGTAGTCCAGTACAGCCGAGGACGATGACACCACGATATGCCCCCTGCGTCGATGTGAACTGGGTCAGAGCCAAAGTCATGAGACATGATCCGCCGGTCGGTAGCATCCATCGAGCTGACTGACTCCATCAGGCAATGAACCTGCGCCCAAGGGAAGAACCTGCGGATGAGCTCACGCACCCTAGAGACGTGGGTGAACAGGGAGGACCTTTCATCTCGGAGTGCGCCTTTCCGATCAAAGTTGAGTCCTGAGACCCCCTGACAAGGGGGCCCAGCTCCCAGCACCACCAAACTGCACTGAGAGAAGCGTAGGCTCCACTCTTGAACCAACTCCTCGGAGATGTGCGCCACATCCTCAATATGGACCACCCCGGGATAGTGTGCTTCTACTACACGCCTGGCCTGAGGGTTCTTCTCAACCGAGATGTATCCTAAAACCTCAACGTCCTGTAGATCCATTGCGACCCTAATGGCACCAATGCCATCGAACAACCCAATAACGAGTACCCCGTGCTCAACCAGAGGCAATGGCTTCTGCCCCCGCAACTCTCCCTGTGCCGCCAAACTCCCGAGCGGTGTGA